AGTATGATCTTTATAAAGATTAATATAAATACAGTTATATTGATAATCAAATAATTAAAATATTGAATTACGTTAAAAAAAATTCACTACCAACCTATTACCTCCACAATCATCATTGGATTCATATTTTCTCTCTCTTCAAAATCTTTTCAACATTCTCTCTCTTGGATCCAATGGTAATTATGAAGGTAGTAAGATGGTAGTATATTTTTTTGTTAGTAAGAATATCCTTCTCCTATAAAAATAAAGATATAAAAAATTGGTTACGAGGAATTATAAATACATTCAAATTTGCAATTTCAAATAACTAACTATTGGACAAAATTAAATGATGTGAGTGGGATATTGTTATTTTTTCAAAAAGTTGGTTACCCAAAAAAAAAAAACATTAGTGTGCTTTAATTAAATGAATTTGGTTTTTTTTTTCAATAAATCATTACTTCTTTTCATAAAATAGTATTCAGAATATATAAAATGCATTAACAAATATAATATAATTAATAATTTCTTAGTTTTTCAGATATCATTTTATTATATTTAGTGTTTAATTAGTAAATCTTTTATGTACTGTTTTAAAATAAATTAAAAAAAATCAAAATTCTATCTAGGTTTGTTTTAAGTATATGACAATCTTTTCATATTCCTTATAAGAATACAAAGCATTTACATTGAAAACATCAATTGGCTTGAAGCATACTTTTTCTTTTTGGTGTATCATCATTAGAATTGTTTGGTAGACATTTATAGAGTACAACGATGAGTTATTGAGCATAGAAAAAAGCAACCTCGATTATCATGATGCTGAAGCAAGAGAAGAGGTGGTACAGTAGTTGCATTTCACGTTGAGTCTGATAGGAGAGCAAATATGCTATAGGAGAAACATCATATTGATTCTTAAGCATCCTCTTTATTTGTGCTCCAGCGTTAATACAAAACTTTCTTCCAAATTGCAAATGTCGACGCGGAAGAGAAGAAACACTAGACTTTCGAAATCTTCCTGTTATAATTCTCCTGAACAATTTAATCCATCGTTTGAATCCGCTGTAGAAAATCAAACTCCAGAATTTGCTTCTTCCGTTCGCAGGTTTTTTTTATTTATTATTATTGAATATATATTCGAATTTGGTCAATCTTTCTTTGATTTTATTGAGAATGATTAATGTTTCCATCTCTGTTATTAAGTGTTTTTAACCCAAACAGTTATTATGGAGTACTCCCTGTGCAAAATGGGTCAACTTCCAAAAGACAGGTTTTTAGTGATATTACAAATGGTATGTTATTGGATTTCAAATGTTTAGCAGTTTCTTTGTATAATATAGATAGATGTGTCACTTTGTTACTTTAATTTCATTTAAAGTTTTTTTAATTTACATTTTGCTATATTTTATGAACTGCAGCAACTCCTTTGCAAAATACAAACAGCTCATCAAGGTCCAATGGTATCAGCTATGATAGGGGGTAAGGTTTATTCTTTGTAACGAAAATTTTCTATTAATAAAACGTTATTTAATTTGGGAATTAATAAAGGAACTTTTATATTTTATTTGTTATTCTGAATAGATTGTATGAATTTCTACATACGCAAGCAAAATCAACGGTTACACAAACATTTGAGCATGAAGTTAGTGGTTCATATCCAAGTCAAGGTAATGATGTTATTAAATCAAATGTTGTTTTAATACTTTTTCATAACACAATATATATTACATATTCTATATTTATTTTTTATCAATTTTATAGACAGCAAAAATGCTAGGCAGAGACGCAAAAGCATAATGGATCGGAAGAAAAATTCTGAGCGATTTGTCAAGTCCCTAAATATCAGTAAAATGAGTGATTTAACCAGTAAGTTATCAACGTCTATAAAAACATCTTTGTAGTATACTATTATTTTAAATTTATTATATAGCATTCGTATTTTTACAATACAAGAATTATTATCACTATTCTGATATAATTGTTGTGATAGGAATTGATATGACGAATGATGAATCAATGCGTTCAACTGATGGGCCTCCCATATGTGCAGAGAACTCTATATCACAGTATGCTGATACAAAATTAAACTTTTTTTATATTCAGTTATATATATATATATATATATATATATTAAATAAATGTTTTATAAGGATGATTCCTGTTCTCATATTTTTTAATTTTTTTTATATAAGGATGGAAATCTCTTCTCCAACTGATTATTGTCCACGATTAATTTCAGGTGATTTATTTTTCATTTTTTAAATTTAATTTGCCAATTATGATATTCTTTGTAACATACTTTCTGTATTAATGCATTTGTTTAGATTATTGGGATGTGGGTGATCCCACTTATGTTTGTAAACATTGTGGAGCACAAATGTGGTACGAAGAGAGAATTAAGAAAGATCGTAAGGCTACCGTTCCTGAGTTTAGCATGTGCTGCGCCAATGGAAAAATTAAACTTCCTTTGTTAAAAAAAGCTCCTGAAACATTGCTTGAACTGCATGATAATTCAAGTATAAGGAGCCACCATTTTTTACAAAATATCCGTCTGTATAACATGCTTTTCTCCTTCACATCCTTTGGGGGAAAAGTTAATGGGTCAGTAAATGATGGTTCAGGTCCTTACTGTTTTAGAGTTGGAGGACAAGTTTATCATGCAATGGGCAACCTTCTTCCCCTTGATTTTCATACTCCAAAATTTGCTCAACTTTATATATATGATATTGAAAATGAAGTTGAAAACAGATTGGGATTCCTAAGGTATGTAAGTTGATGTAATTTTTTAAATATTCATTTATGAATCATATTATAATTCCTGAATTTAAGCTAATGTCTGTTATTTAATTGTTTGATACAATTTACAGATCAAACAATAATGAAGATTTGCTCGATCAAAGCATTGTCCTATCATTGAAGGAGATGTTAGATAAACACAACAGTATTGTCCAATCTTTTCGCTATGCTAGAGATCGTTATAACGAAGATCAACTCAAAGGCGTGAGATTGAGGCTTATTCGAAAGTGTGGCAATGATGGAAGACTTTATAATCTTCCTTCCGCATCTGAAGTAGCTGTTTTAATTGTTGGAGATATAGACACCGCGATGGGTGATAGGGACATCATTGTTGAGACACAGGATGGAGTTTTAAAGCGCATTGATGTTAAACATCCATTATATTTGGGTTTGCAGTATCCTTTGTTATTTCCTTACGGTGAAGAAGGTTATCGCGATGATGTCCATCGTAATTCAATTTCTACTGGTAGGACAAACCCAAGATCAACTATCAGCAATAGAGAATTCTTTGCATTTAGACTTCAGATCAGATTAGGAGAGTCCCAAGTTCTCCATCAATCTAGAAAACTTTTCCAACAGTTCTTGGTTAATGCTTATACAATGATTGAGCACGAACGTCTTAATTTCATTCGTTACAATCAGGCTAATCTCAGAGCTGATTTGTACGAAAATGTAGTACACGCGTTTGACAGAGGAGAAGATACAGCGGTCAAAACAGGCAGGCGTATTATTATACCTTCTTCTTTCACGGGCGGCCCAAGATATATGGCAGAAAATTGTAAGGATGCATTTGCAATTTGCCGTTGGGCTGGATATCCTCATCTTTTCATAACAATTACCTGCAATCCTAAGTGGCCAGAAATTTCACGATTTCTTAAGGCTAGAACGCTGAACGCTGAAGATCGTCCAGATATTCTTTACAGAGCATTCAAGTTCAAATTGGACCAGTTGTTACAGGATTTAAGAAACGGGCATATTCTTGGCAAAATTAATGCATGTACGTATTTTTTTTATTTGTTATTGTTTTGGAATAACTTTTTTGCATTTTTTATTAAAATCAAAACCATATCTTTATATTTCCTAATTTTGCATGTACGTATCTTATTTATTTTTTTTATTTTTTTTACGTTTTTTAATACAAATTATTGTCGTTTGTTTTGCTTGAAATTAACAGATGTTTGTACAATTGAGTTTCAAAAACGTGGGTTGCCTCATGCTCATATTCTACTGTTCTTGCATTCCTCTAACAAGCCAGAAAGTGCTCTCGATATTGACAAATTGATTTATGCAGAGATTCCTGATAAAGATTCTGATCCTTCATTATTTGCAGCTGTAACAAGTTATATGATGCACGGTCCATGTGGTCCTAATAATTACAAGTCTCCTTGCATGAAAGAGGGAAAGTGTTCAAAGAAATTTCCCAAAAAATTCAGCTCCCGTACAATTATTGACGATGATGGATTCCCTCATTATAAAAGAATAAATAATGGGAGATTTGTTATTAGGAACGGTGTGGAGCTAGATAATCGTTATGTTGTGCCTTACAATGCAAACCTTATTTTAAAATATCAAGCTCATATAAATGTTGAATACACCTGTCAGAGCAGTGCTATTAAATATCTTTTTAAATACATCCATAAAGGAAATGATCGCGTGACAGCTGCTATAAAACATTCAGATCCAACTCTTGACGCATCTCAAAAAAATGATGAAATTCAAATTTTTTATGATTGCAGGTAGTGAATTTCAAATATATGAATGAGTGATTTTTTTCGCTTATTTGAACTGAATTATGATTTTTTTTTCCTTTCTTTGGAATAAATTTCTTCTTTTATTATAGGTATGTGTCTGCATGCGAGGCTGCTTGGAGAATTTTTGGCTTTGATATTCATTTTAGATATCCTCCTGTTCAGAGATTGTCATTTCACTTACCTAATGCAAAGAATGTTGTTTTCTGGGATAATGCATCAATATCTGATGTGAAGACAAGAGCTGAGTCCAGGAAGTCGATTTTTGAGGCTTGGATGGAAGCAAACAAAAAATATCCAGAAGGAAGGGATCTAACTTATGCTGAGTATCCAACCCATTTTGTTTATAAAGAAGATACCCAAGAATGGCACCCTAGAAAAAAAAGGATTTTCAATCGGTAGAATAAATTGTTTCTCAGCTAATAATGGAGAAGATTCGTATCTTCGGATGCTTCTTACTTTTCAGAAAGGTTGTACGAGCTATTATGATTTGAGAACAATTAATGGTGTGCTTTTTCCTTCGTTTAAGGATGCATGCTATTTTCTGGGTCTTTTGGATGATGACAGAGAGTATATCGATGCTATTAAAGAGACAAGTTCATGGGGGTCATCTTCTTATCTTCGTAATCTGTTTGCTCTTCTTTTATTTAGCAATTCAATGACTAAACCTGAATTTGTTTGGGAAAAGTCTTGGAAATTCCTCTCTGACGATATCTTATATCTACATAGGAAAAATATCGGATGTTCAGGTATGTGCTTATAACAATTTTCATCCATTATTTCTAAAGACCAGTGTTTTACTGCAACAAGAGATATGTCGACAATTTCAATATGTTAGATATGTTTTTCATGTTGATTACTTCAAGAATGACATATACTTTCATGTTACTGTATGTATAAAGTCCAACATTATTATCTGTTTGCTTTGAGTTCAAAAAAATTAAAATTTTATAAATTATTTCACCTTTCTTTTTTATTAAAAATTTAAAACATTTTCAGTTATTATTGTTGATACTGAAAATAAGTTGTTACTTTAAGTTGAAATAAATGTTAATCTTAAAAATATTGTAACCTTTGTAAAGAAAACATTATTTTTTATTATTGATGTTACTGTTTAAGTCTGTTACTTCACATTGAATTAAATTTATTATAAAAAAATTTAACGTTTTTTAGGCTCCTTACAATATATCATTGTTGTTTCTCGGATCTCAATGGTGAGAGAGTTTTATTTGTCATTTTAAAAATTAATTATACTCTCTTAAATTCAAAAATATTAACCTCCTCTTTTTTTTAATTCATTATAAAAAGTCCGTTAATAGAATAAGTCATTTTGAATTTCATATATATTCTAACGCATCTTGAAGTTAATATTTTTTTTTAATTTTTCTTTTGTTAATAGTTCAATTTCTTAGTATTCTGTTTTATTCTTTGTTTAGATGCATCTCTTCCAGAAGATTGTATAATGAATTCTACACTTGCTGAAATAGACAAAGTACTGCAGAGCAATGGTAGATCTCTATCAGATTACCCATCAATGCCTCGCATAATGATGGAATCATTGCTGGATATACAAAATAGATTGGTGCTTGATGAGTTATCGTATGACAGGTTATTTTTGATAGAAGAACATAAGAGATTATTACATTCCCTAATTGATGAGCAGAAAGATGTCTACGAGAAGATTATTTCAGCGGTTTCCCGAGGCACAGGGTTTTTTTTCTTTCTTTATGGGTTTGGAGGCACAGGAAAAACATTTATTTGGAATACTTTGTCTACATCTGTTAGATCAAATGGAAAAATTGTACTAAATGTTGCTTCGAGCGGAATTGCTTCCCTTCTGTTGCCTGGAGGACGTACAACACATTCCAGATTTCGTATTCCTATTCAGATCAACGAAGATTCAATGTGTAACATAAGCCAAAATTCTACTCTTTCTGAGTTGTTGTCGAAAACAAGCTTAATTATTTGGGATGAGGCCCCAATGGTACACAGATTTTGCTTTGAGGCTCTTGATAGAACACTTAGAGATGTTCTTAGATTTTCTAATCCGAGTTTCTGTGATAATCCATTTGGTGGAAAAGTTGTTGTTTTAGGAGGTGATTTTCGGCAGATTTTACCTGTGATTCCTCATGGTAGCAGACATGATATAGTTTATGCCACTATTAATTCGTCTCATCTTTGGCCGCATTGTAATCTTTTGACTCTGACCAAAAACATGCGTCTAACTTCAGGAAATAGTAATCAAAATTTGATGGAAATAAAAGAATTCTTTGAATGGCTTCTTAAAATAGGAGATGGTGATCTTGGAGATGATGTGGACGGGGAATCTATTATAACAATTCCAGATGCACTATTGATCAAAGAATCGGAAGATCCACTTTCAGATTTGGTTGATTTTGTGTATCCGAATATGTTGAATCATATTTTTTATCCTGCTTTTTTCAAAGAACGTGCCATTTTGACTCCTAAATTGGCAGATGTTGCTATCTTAAACGAGCGGCTTATGAGTTTTATTCCAGGTGAAGAACGAACATATTTAAGTTCAGATAGTGTTTTGAAGCAAGATGGAAATTCTGAGCTAGAGGATGTTGAATTCTCTCATGTGATTTTAAATACCTTCTCATGTTCGGGACTTCCTGATCATAAATTAACTTTAAAGGTTAATGTGCCGGTTATGCTTTTGAGAAACATTGATCAATCAAAGGGGTTATGTAATGGCATAAGACTGCTTATTTCTAGATTAGGCAACCATGTTGTTGAGGCAACTGTTCTTACAGGAAGCAATATAGGAGAAACTGTCTTAATCCCTAGGCTCACTGTCAGCCCGTCTTCTCATACGTTTCCTATAAATTTCCAAAGAAGACAATTTCCCTTGGTGGTTTCATTTGCAATGACTATCAACAAGAGTCAAGGACAATCGCTTTCTCATGTTGGAATTTATCTTCCTAGACCTGTTTTTACTCATGGACAATTATATGTGGCGCTATCAAGAGTAAAGAGCAAACAAGGATTGAAGATTCTTATATTTGAGGATAATGGTTGTGTTGCAAATAGTACCTATAACATTGTCTATAAAGAAGTATTTCAAAGGTTAGTGTAGTTGATTTGATTTCTTTTTGCAGTTCACAAACTTGAATGCATTTATGATGAAAAAATCTTTTTATTTTTTTTAATTTTGTGCATGTCCTTCTGATTTTTTTTAGTTATAATTGGGATAAAATTATGCTATATTTTTTTAATTATTTTTATATATTTTTAAATGTCGTTAATGTTATATATATATTTTTCTTTTTTCAGATTATGATGTGCATTGCTTACGTAACCATCAAAGCAATTGGGAGTAAATTCAATTGGTGGTACAAATCCTATAAGAAATGCCTCTATTATGTTTGTGAAGATTTTGACAGATTGTTTTGTAATAACTGCCAAAAACATTGGAGTGATGACCAACCAAAGTGAGTTATTTTGTCCAACGAAATTTTCTGATTTTTAATGTTTTGTTTTACTACATAATTGAAACTGATAATTTTTAAGTAGTCATTTCATATTTTGTCGAACATCTTATATATGTGTAATATTTTGGCTGATTGTTTATGTGATAACAATTCCCATACCTATAGTTATATAAGTTAATAATTTTTATTAAACGTCAATTCATTTACAAGGATGCGACAAGATTCGGTCGACAACCGACTGAAACTTTTTTCCCTCCGTGCAGCGCACGGGTAAATAACTAGTATAATACTATACTTGAGTATTGCGACACGCGACTCGCTTTCGGTGGATGCTACATATACAATGCTTTTGTTACATGTTGCAAGCGCACGTCACGGGTTTAGTCATGTGTATGGTGGGATTGAAGCGTGGATTTGGGAGCATGGGAATGGTGTGGCCCATGAGACGTTTGTTGGTACAATTGTATTTGGGAAAAAAGGGAAGGGAGGCACATTAATGAGAATTTCTTGTGTAAGTTTACCAGTCCTCACTTCTGACGGTCTAGGTTTTAATTGCGTCAACCCAACTTACCATTTCCACTGGCTAAGATTTTTTTTTATCCAACACGAATAAATATTTGATATTAAAATGAGATAGATATTCTTATTATTAATTTTTTTCTACTATCACTCCACCTATGATGCACGGACACGGGACACGACACGACACGCCGACACGTTAATTCTACAAAATGTTTTTGACACGTTGAGACACGTTTTGTTATTAAATAATTTTTTTAATATATATATAATATAATTTATATTTAATACATATAAGAATCTATAATAAGTCATATAACCAATCAAATATTTAAATTTCATAACATAAATATAAATATAAATAATTTTTCTTACTTTGTTAATTTTTCATGTCAAATTTCTTAACAGAAAAAAATTAATTTATAAATTATTTTTTTTATATTTAGTTAACAAAATAAAATTAAGATTAAAAAAAAATGTGTCCGAGTGTGTCCGAACGTTGACCGCGTGTTGAAAAAAGTTGACTGCATGTCGAAAAACGTGTCGAAACGTGTCGGAGAGTTGACCGCGTGTCCCCAAATGTTGATCGCGTGTGGGATGCGTGTCGGAGCGTGCCCGTGTCGGACACGTGTCCGACACGCAAATTTTTCAGAAACTTGCGTGTCCGTGCTTGTTAGCACTCCACTACCACCGTAATCACCTTTCAAATAGAGGAAAAGTTGAGTGAAGAGAGAAAAAAGTAAATAACTTTTGAATCCAATGGTGATTAGAGTGGTTGTGGAGCAATAGTAGTAAAAATTGGTAGTAAGAATATCCTATCTCTATTAAAATAAATATCTGGATCTATATTTTATGAATAAATAAGTTACACAAAATTTAAAATAATTAAAATAAAATTAAAAAAAATATAATTTGAATTTTGAAAACAAATTATATTAACATAAAAGCCTTATCATATTATGTAAATGATATTAATTTAAATTAATACTAGTGAATTACCTGTGCCGATGCACGAGAAAAAAAATTGGTTTGTTTGGCATGGTGGGTCGGCCCTCCGGGCCGAACTCATTTTGTCAGTATTTCAAAGGTCCCAAACAGTCATTTTTTTAAATAACAAAACAGTCATTCATTGTTACATTAAAAATAGGAAAGAAAATAGAATAATAAAGGTCATATCTTTGAAGATAGATAAGGAAAAGAGACGCGAATAAATAGTAATTTTTTTATCTTTACCTGTACCATACAACGAAGTTATATCTTTGAAGAAAGAACCCAATATACTATAGCAGTCTTTGAAATACTTCCTTGTAAACTATATTAAGGGTACTATTCGTAACGCAGCCATTTTCATCAAGTATCAATATCTTCAATCCATGCTTACTCTTTACTCTAGACAGTGCCACATATAATTGCCCATGAGTGAAGACAGGCTTAGGGAGATAAATTGCAACATGTGAAAGTGATTGTCCTTGACTCTTGTTGATAGTCATGGAAAACGATACAATCAGGGGGAATTGTCTTCTTTGGAAATTTACAGGAAATGTATGACTCGATGGGCTCATCGTCATTCTAGGAATTAACACAGTTTCCCCTATATTGCTTCCTGTAAGTACAATTGCCTCAACAACATGATTCACTAATTTTTTAATAAGCAATCTCGTGCCATTGCATAAACCTCTCGACTGATCAATATTTCTTAATAGCATTACTGGAACTTTAACTTTCAAGATTAATTTATTATCAGGAATCCCTGAGCATGATAATGTATTTAAGATCTCAGGGGTGATTTCATCATCCTCAACAGAGGAAGTCCCACCTTGCTTAAGAATTTTATCCGAACTCAAAAAAGTCCTTTCTTCACCAGGAATCATAGACATTAGGTGCTCGTTTAGCATAGCAACATCGGACAATTCAGGAGTTAGAATAGCACGTTCTTTAAAGAAGGTCTGATCCAAAATATTATCCAAGAGATTCGGATAAACAAAATTAACCATATCCGACAGCGGATCTTCCGATTCTCTAATCAACAATTCATCTGGAATTATTATAATAGATTCTCCATCAACATCATCACCAAGATTACCATCCCCAACTTTAAGTAGCCACTCAGAAAATTCTTTTATTTCCTCTAAATTGTGAGCGCTACTTCCAGAATTAAGACGCATGTTCTTGGTCAAAGTTAATAAATGACAATGGGACCATAGATGAGAAGAATTGATGGTTGCATGAACTATATCTTGTCTGCTGCCATGAGGAATGACAGGTAATATTTGCCGAAAGTCACCTCCTAGAACAACGACTTTTCCACCAAATGGCATATCAACACAGCTTGTATCAGAAATTCTAAGAACATCTCTCAGTGTCCTATCCAGAGCCTCAAAGCAAAATCTATGTACCATTGGAGCTTCATCCCAAATGATTAACTTTGTTTTTTACAGCAACTCAGCTATAGTAGATTTCGGCCTTATATTACACGTTGAATCTTCATTGATTTGAATAGGAATACGAAATCTAGAATGCGCTGTTCGTCCTCCAGGAAGCAGAAGGGAAGCAATTCCGCTAGAAGCAACATTAAGTACGATTCCAGCTTTTGATCTAATAGATGCTGAAAGAGTATTCCAAATAAATGTTTTTCCTGTACCACCGAACCCGTATAGGAAAAATAACCCTCCATTACCTGCCGTAACTGCTGAAACAATTTTATCATAAACAGCTTTCTGCTCATCAGTGAGGGAATTAATTAGTCTTTTATGCTCCTCTTCCAAAGCAAATCTGTCATACATTAATTCATCCAACACTAATCGATTTTGCATATCAAGCAAAGTTTCACTATTGATGCGTGGCATTGACGGATAATCAGAGAGGCATTTCCCATTGCTCTACAGTACCTTATCAATTTCTTCAAGAGTTATGTTTTTTATAGACTCTTCTGTAAGAATTGCATCTGACAAAGCATAAAATTCAAAGGAAAAAAAATTAAAAAATTAACAAAGATAAAGTAATCAAAGAAAGAAAAGAGAGCGAAATAAGTACTAAAGCATCATTTGCTGAATGCGGGAAAAAAAAAACAAAATAAGCACTAAAGCAACATTTGCTGAATACGGGCAAAAAAAGCTAATAAGTACTAAGGCAGCATATGCTGATTTCGGTTAAACAAAAAAAAATTGTATGAAATATTATTATAACACGTACCTTGACGTCCTATTCTTTTCCTATGCCGATAAACAACGTCGTCGGATAAAAATTTCCAACACTCTTCCCAAACTTTTTCAGGTCTGTTCATTGAGTTGGCAAATAACAACAGAGCAAACAGACATCTAAGATAAGCAGCAGATCCCCAGGAACTTGCCTCCTTAATTGCATCAATGTACTCATTGTCATCATCCAGAAGTCCTAAAGAATAGCACGCATCCTTAAATGTAGGAAAAACCACGCCATTGATCGTTCTAAGATCTTCATAACTGGTGCAACCTCTTTGAAAATTAAGCAAGGTGCGAAGATATGAATCTTCTCCATTATTGGCAGAAAAACGATTTATCCTTCCAATGGAAAATCCTTTTTTTCTCGGATTCCATTCATGCGTTTTTTCTTTGAAAACAAATTCAGTCGGGTACTCTCCATAAGTTAGATGCCTACCTTCTGGATATTTTTTATTTGCATCCATCCAAGACTCAAAAATTGACAGTCTAGACTCCGCCCTTGTCTTTACATCATACAACGAATCATTATCACTGAAAATAATGTTCTTTTCATTAGGCAAGTGAAATGGCAATCTCTGAACAGGGGGATATCTCGAATGAATGTCAAATCCAAATATTCTCCAAGCTGCTTCACATGCGGAGACATACCTATCATAAATAAATAAATCGGTGAACATTTAAGTTAATAATTTCTCAAAAAAATTGTGCCAATTTTGTAGGAAAGCAAAACACAATGGAGATTATTTTTAGTACCTGCAGTCATAAAACATTTTTATTTCATCGTCCGAATGATTTATGGCAGCTGTCACTCTGTCATTCCCTTTGTGGATGTATTTAAAAAGATATTTAATGGCACTTCTCTGGCAAGTATATTCAACGTTGATATGAGCCTGGTACTTTAAAAGAAGGTGTGCATTATAGGGCAC